GTGGGCACTGCCCCACCTCAGCCGCAAGTGCCAGATCGCAGTGGGCGCTACCGGGCCTCAACAGCAAGCGCCAGATCGCCAGATCGCAGTGGGCAGCCTCGGGCCTCACCGCAATCGCCAGATCGCAGTGGGCACTACCAGACCTCAACAGCAAGCGCCAGATCACAAATGATTGAAATGTCATGGTGGGGCAGTGGGGATCGCTCGAGGTAAAATAAAATTGTGCTTTGCTTCCATTGCTTCCTTGCTGCCACTTTGCTTCCTAGTTTGCTTCCTGCCCTTCTCTTTCAAGTGGCAAGAAGCACAAGCCATTTGCCCCCATTTGCTCACCTTTGCCAAGTTACCACATGAGGATGTGGAGGCTTTCCTTTTCTTCTTTGGCGTCACCGATCGTGCCACAGGCTGCACAGCTTTGCCCCGACCCTTCACGGCCTTTCTCTGAAGACCCATCGCTCCGGCGACGCAGCTCACTTGTCACAAATGGTTTGCGCGAACAAACTTGCCGAAACTAAACTTGTGCTGCTTGCGCTACTTGAGGCCTTTGGCGCCTTGCAATCCTAAGTTTTTGCTATGTATAATCTATTGAATCTAGCTTGGACCACTTGAGTGCACCATTCGCACCTCAGCATGAGAATGAAGAAGTTTGCGCTAGTAGTTGATGGACTGCTCATGTTCGGTAAATCAAATCATGAAACTGGTCGTGAGAAACACCACGCGCAATGCGTGCCTTGCAGCCGTTGCAAAGCAGTCTCAGGGAAGTCGGCTTGAACCGTCTCCACAGGAGGCGCCTGGGGGCAGACTCTGTTAGGGTGAGCGATCCCGGCGGAAACATTACAGAATCTATATAGAATAATCTGTTCTTGAGTATTCATGGCATGTGTGCAAAAGAAACTGCTCCACATGACATCGTCGCAAAGGATCCACACTAGCCCACATAACACACCAAACAAGCACTTCGATGACATAGGTCGCCAAACTCAAGCTACTGCTTTGAGAGAATACAGTCCTGCGCCATTCTATTTTTGCCCAATGGCAACTGATGGCCTCCAGCACCTCCAGCCCCAGGCCCACCAACCGCTTCTCCTCGCCACGAGTGCATCTCTGTGGACAGGAAGTCCACCCTGAAAAAGGGTAGACTACAGTCAGTTAAAACAAAAGAAGGTATGTAATAAGGGCCCTTTGATAAGGTCTCTCCTTTGCTTTTACTAATTTTAATCAAAAAGAAACTCATGAGTTTGGTACAAATGTCAATCCGAAAAGCAGCGCCTCCTCCATCAAAAGCCTCGCTGCCTCACGTCGCTGTTGCGCCACACTGCAGCTTGTTGCCTACGAGCGCCAGTGAGTGAAGGTTGTGTTTACGGGGTAAGCTAAGCAATGCTAAGCAGCTAGCCACAGGTGCAACAAGCGGCACAATGATTGAGCCAAAGGTGCAAAGGGTGCAGAAGCACCATAGCCACCACAACCCTTCTGGATGGAAAGCAGGCCATGCCGCAGCCTGAGTGAGAGGAGCAGCTATGTTTCATGCTCAGTGTTTCCAACCTGTCACCTGTCACCTGTCTTTGAGCAGCAAGGTTGCACTTGCCGAGCACGGTTGGCATCACCCAGGACCACCTGGCATGATGTGTGGGACATTTGCTGGAGGCGTGGCTCTGTTACACAAAGCCTGCTTGGACGTCTTCTATTCAATTCTATCCCAATTGTCTGAATAGTACAAGTAGGTTGGCGGCCATCACTTTTTGTAGCTCAAAGGTAGTGTTTTTCCCAAATGCGTAGCGAAGGGTTCCCGTTTGTAGTTGGGGGTCTGGGGGTTGGAGCTATGTTTGCATGGCTTGCGTCGGCTTGTCGTCCGTCGTCGTCTGTCGTCGTTTGTCGTCGTCGTCGCGTCTCAAATTCGCTGCCATTGGGGGAAGCTTTTGCAAGTGACTTTGCATGGATGTGTCACGTGTCAGTTTGCGCCGCTATTCCATTGTGATTTGCATGACAATGACATGTCGCGCAAGAAACGTGATGCATTTCGCTGCACAGGCGCAGCGTTTTGTGAGATCCGCAGATTGCTGCGCAGTTCCATTGGGATTAGCGTTTGGAGAGTCGTGTTTTTGGGGTGTTGGATGTGGCCGTGCCATTGGGATTTGCGTTTCAGGGTGTGGCATCGAAGCTCGGTTTTCGTGACAAGTCTCAGCTGAAATGCCGATTTTGGTGGGTGGGAGTGTGCTCAGAACGGGTCGAAATCATTCCAAACGTGTGGTGTGGTGCAAATTTTGTTGGAGCTCACATGAGATGATATTGTCACTTTTCGTGGCAGGCACAGGACTTTGTGCAGGGTTTGAAGCGTGGAAGTGCGATTCTCGTGGCAGGCGCAGGGAATCGTGAGGTTGCGAGGTGTGACGGAGGTGGCATTTTGTGGCAGGCGCAGTACTTTGTGCCCGTTAGACGTGTGGACGCGGAAAGATTCGTGGCAGGCGCAGGGAATGGTGAGGTTGTGAGTTGTGGTAGAGTATCATGTCGCTGTCACATTGGGATTGGCGTGTGAGCGGATGTTGTTTGGAGGGGCTGGAATCGCGAAACTGCTTGGCAGGGCTGCGTGATGTGTGTGTGCTCCGATGGATGTTTCCGCTTGACTTTTGGAGGAAGTCTCGTACGAAACGCTCGTTTTGGAGACTTGACGCGCAACCCTCTGCGGAGATCGTGCGTGTCGAGTGTGCGAAATGCAGGCGAGAGTGTGATTTGTCCCATGTTCGCGCGACCCTCTGCGGAGATCGTGCGTGTCGAGTGCGCGAAATGCAGGCGACAGCGCGATTTGTCCCATGCGCACGCAACCCTCTGCGGAGATCGTGCGTGTCGAGTGCGCAAAATGCAGGCGAGAGTGCGATTTGTCCGGCGCCCGCACCACCCTCTGCGCAGATCGTGCGTGTCGAGTGCGCGAAATGCAGGCGAGAGTGCGATTTGTCCGGTGCCCGCGCAACCCTCTGCGGAGGTCGTGCGCGTCGAGCGCGCGAAATGCAGGCGAGCACTGGCGACTTTGTAGTACAACTTTAGTACGCGGAGTATCTGAAGAGCTGGAAGATGAGAACTGGTGACTTGGTACAACTTTAGTGCGCGGAGCAATCTGTGGAGCTGGAAGCTGCGAACTGGCGACTTTGTGGTACAACTTTAGTACGCGGAGCAATCTGTGGAGGTGGAAGGTGAGAACTGGCGACCTTGTAAAAACTTTAGTACGCGGAGTACCTGGGGAGCTGGAAGAGTGTCCCACAAGAGTGTCCTACAAGAGTGTCCCACACGAGTTTCCAACAACAGTGACCCACAAGAGTGTCCTGCAAGTGACCTACAAGAGTGTCCCACAAGAGTGTCCTATAAGAGTGTTGTGTAAGAGTGTCCCACAAGAGTGTCCTGCAAGTGTCCCACAAGAGTTTCCTACAAGAGTGTCCCACAAGAGTGTCTCACAAGAGTGTCCCACAAGAGTGTCCTACAAGAGTGTCCCACAAGAGT